GCTGCCCCGCTCCCGGGGGCCGAGCCCCAGGTAGGGGCACGGCCGCTGTGCCCGGCGCTGGAGCCGCGCCGCGGCTGCCCGAGGTGCTGCTGCCGGCCCCGCTGCCTCGGGGCTGCGCGGAAGAGCGGGGCCCGGCCCGCGTTGCGGGGCGCGGGGCTGCCCTCCTCCAGACCGGCTGCTTGCTCCGTTTCCCTCTTTTACCGGGTGCAGGTGTTGACTAGTCGTGAGCCGCCAACGCTGACATTTCGTATTTGCTTTGAGGATGACAGGCTTCCTTCAGATCCCTGTAAAACATTTACCTCTTTTGAGAGGAGTTCTTTACCGTGGGAGAACCACTGCGCTGTCGAGGCTCCGGTAGTGCGGGCGACAGCATCAGGCCTGCACAAAGACAGCTGCGAAGTGGGCGCACCTGAGCTTAAGATGGTTGCAAGCTCTTTCCCTCTGGGCTTTCTCTCTCAAAAGAAAGTCGTGCTGGCCACGAGGCGCTGGCCTGCCTTATGGGCTCCTAGTATCTTCTTGGGTGTTTTTACTTTTTCTCTGTGGCATCTTTGTATTTTGTGGTAGCAGCTGTGCATCCTCTAGAGGAGTGGTTTGGTGGGGTGACCGTGTACACCAAAGGAGATTGGCTATCCTAAATTGTTTAACGACTCTAACGCAGTAAGACAGTTGATAAGTGGAAGGAGTGACGTTAAGCTGTGAACAGGTTAGATCTGGACATACTCTGTAAGGAGAGATTGGCTGTTAATTTTGTTGCAGTCATGTGGTAGAAATGTTTTAACTGCTCAAGAGTGTAAAGAGGGATGATGGAAGGAAGAGGAGAGGGCTGATCTGTGGAGCAAGGTGGGTAACGATAGCTGTACTCTTAATTACTGGCTTCGTGCTGCCTTGGGGCTTCTTGCTCTGCTGCAAAACATTATCTCATTTGTGTGCAATACAGCTGACTTCTTTTAATGACTGTGTCCCCTGCGGGTAGGGTGCCTCTTGTGTTGATGCTGTTGATTTGTTTTTTAAGCAGACTTCGCCTGTCTGCGGGAGACAGTTTTACTAGAGTCTGTGAACATAAACAACGTTTCAGCAGAATAACGTCTCTTGCTGCCTTCTCTCATAGTTCAAACAATTTACGGCTGTATTAGATATCTGAAATGCAGTATTACTCTGTCAAAGCCTGGGAGGATGCGACTGGGTAAAAGATTGCTCTTCATGTGCCAAGTTTCTTGAATTCCTGTCCCTGAGAATCTCTCAGTAGTGAATGCTGGAGGCAGGATACTGATACAGATACATCTTTCGTCTGGTCCATTAAATGATTTGTATTTCAAGAGCACAGTGTAGAAATGTTAGTCAGCTGCAAGGAAATTAATACAAAAGTCCATTCTGTTGGCCTAGAGAAATGCTCGTGGATTTGAGGTTTCCCATAGCAAATTGAGTATCCCTCTGGATGTGTGAGATTTGTGCAGCTGATGGAAGTTTTTTTAACTTCTGGATACTCTTCAAGCTGCTGGAAGCTGTCTAAATTGCTGGGATTGCAGGCATTTCAGGTGGTTTTATTAATAATGTATCAGGGCTAGACTACACTTCTTGGTGAGTTCAGATCATGTGGTTTGCTAATACAAGAAATGGGTTCCTGTGGAACAGCACATGTGCTACTAAATGTTTGGCCTGTGCGGTTCCCTGATGTAATTCAGTGGAAACTTGTGTGCTTTCTTCCCATTCCTTGCTATTTGTTTTCCCTGTGAGCTTGTGACTTTGCAGGTGTGTTCTGTGTGGCAGGAGAAAACCTCCTGGGCTAGCAGCTGAGACTTGGCACTTGGAAAAGAGAGAGAACAAATGCTACCCTGAAAATGCCATGAGAAGTCTTTATGGAAAGAAGGTTCAGCAAGGCCTCTGGGATGTTGCACATGCTGCTGTCAAAATACGCAGAGAATTGAGGTGTTTCATTTCCAGGTCCCTGAGGCGAGGATTGAAAGGATAATAAGTTTGGTCACGTTTAGAGAAAGCATAATGGTATCAAAGATATTAGTTCTTGGATAAAAAAAATTGAGAACAATCAGCTTTGTAGGAGAGGCATGTGTTGGTAGACCCTGGACGGAGAGATGATGCAGCACAAGCTCACCTGCGCTAGACAGCACTGAATGGCCTTGGGAATGGCTTAGGTCAGAGCTGACATTTCAGCATCCAAACCACAGATCTTGAATCTATCGCAGATCAGGATACATGTATTTTTTTTACTTACGGACCTCTGTTTTGCAGCGACAGGGGATTGGAGAGCCCAGCGTGTACCATGCCGTGGTGGTTATTTTCCTGGAGTTCTTTGCCTGGGGGCTGCTGACCACGCCGATGCTAACGGTGAGTAAGTCTCCCTGAGAACAATACTGGCTCTTGTAGACTGGAGTTCACCTTGTGTTGGTGAGGGTAAAGATCTTAACATAGGCCTTTGGAGTATAGGAAGTAGAAACCGAGATGTAATGGTTTGTACCTGAAAAAGCTGGAGCTATAGTAATTTTTTATGGAGTTGGGCAATTATTTTCTTAATTATTGTAGCTTAGCTTGGAGCAAAGCACGAGTTAGATTTATGAAAGCTTTTGGAGGATTTCAAGAAAGCAGGAGTGAAAGACCTGACCTGAAATTAGTAGAATTTACTGGTAGTTTACTGTAATTTGTTGCTTTTTTTTCCCCCTAGGTATTAAAAAAAAAAAAAAGTCCACTTGGGAGCTTAATGAAAGAAAGCTGAGCAAATCTTTGACTTTTTACCTGAAGACTGCACCATTTACCCTACACTGACTTATTTAGGGATAAAAGAGATTTGTGTTGAACTACCACCATCGTTGTCTGGGGTGTCAAAGCACAGAGACAATTTCCTGGCGATTACTTGCTACACCAAGTCATGCTCATTCTAGGAGAGCCCACCAGTAACTCATTCAGGACTTGCCTGAGTTATGATTAACACAGGCAGCAAAGGCAACTTCACAATAAAGTTAAGTGCAGAGGGATAGCTTTATTAAAGAAACTTTAAGTCTCATCTTGGATATTTGCCTTTAGTTAAGGAGCTGTAAACTTCTGATTTGACAACTTCAGGAAGAATTCTCAGCTTTTTAAATGCATTTTCTGGTAGTGGTATGCCAGCTCACATTGAAGTCTAACGTGCCATGCATATTTTTGACCCAATCTCTGATATCTAGGTAACTATGTGAAAGGAGTCTTTGTTTTTGCAAAGGCATTTAGAAATATAGTATTAGCTTAGTAGTATAAAATGCAAATCAAACATATAGATAGTACAAAAGGGGGAGAGAACAACAGAAAAGTTATATTGTCACATGAAGTAAAAACAGAGGGAAATCAGATGGTGCCGGGGATGGAGAAAGGCATGTTTCAGATTATCTAGCCTTGCCCAAGCATGCTGGAATAATTTATAGACCCGGGAAGTATTAAAGAAAGTGGCTGCCTGTGTTGGAGAGGGGAGGTAGAGCTCTTCACGTAGGTGCAGCAGTGGCATTGTTGGTAGTGCATTTCCCATTTTCCCTGTTTTGTGCTTTTCCAGGCATCTAGCTGTCAGGTGCTTATGGAAATTTTGCAAACATTGCTAGCTCTGTTTTTTTGTTTTTGGCTTTTTTTTTCCTAGGTGTTACACCAGACTTTTCCTCAGCATACATTCTTGATGAATGGCCTGATTCATGGAGTCAAGGTAAGGAATATTCCTTCCAGGCTTTCATTTGAATCTGCGATCAGTGCAAGAAGTGGCAAGCCATTATAATATGTGTCATTTGCTGATGTCAACCAGTATTTGACAGATAAAGGTTCATATTTCAGTTTGGGGTGCTACTGGCAAACCTAACGCAAAATGAAGAATTGACAGAGCATGGACATTGGGTGGCTTGTGTAGTTGATTTTACTGAGCAGTATTAACAATGTGCTGCTTGTCAGCCTGGGTTTGGGGCTATAACAGCTGTGTGTTTCAGCTGAAAATATTCTAATCAGCATGAGATCAGCCCCATATCCATATTCTGGAGTGTAACAAAATAAAAAATCAATGACATCTGAACTTATCAGTAATAGAAGTTGAAACTAAGTGGGCCTTAGTGGGCTCTCCTGAGACAGAAGGTGGGGAGTGTGCTGTGGCACAGTAAGTTGGCATGGCGAGTTTGGACTAGACCAGCATTCCCAGGGCAGAATTGGAGGCAACTATAGCAAACAACCAGTAGCCATGTGTTCTGACTTGGGAGTGTGGCAAAACAGATCGTTAGGCCCTGGCTCTGGCAAGAGGATCTCAGAAAATGGTCCTAGAGAGGTTTGCTTCAATGCGAGTTGAGCACTCCCATATATACTTAAGGGCTCTTCCCTGCCTGTCTTGGGTTTGAAAGATGTTGAAAGGCATTGAACAATTTTATTTGTGCTTAATGTCCTTGCCATCTTATCGGGCCTGTCTTGTCTCCATCTAAAAGAGAAAGCCTTCCCTAGAACTGCAGCAGATGTTAATGTGATGGAGCTGTGCCAACATCTTTTTAGGTACTGGCAGGGCAACTCCCTGCTGCACAGGCGTGCCTGGGAAGACCACAGCTGCAGGCTGAGCAGTTGTAGAGAATGGGACATAACTGGAGTGTTTAGCAGCGCCTAGCTGGTTGAACTTTTTTTTTTTTCCCCTCCCTAAAAGGATGTGAGCAGTTTAACAAACTGTTCTGTTTTGGTAATATTGCCTGCTTGTAGAAAATAGGAATGGATTGCCTCCTTGTATTTTTATCTTTAGATAATGTTGTCAAAAGTTCTTACTATCGACAATCAGAATTTGACTGAGGGATTTCTCTCTGTCACCCTGTCTGTCTTTCTTAGGGTCTGCTTTCTTTTCTAAGTGCCCCGCTGATTGGTGCTCTCTCTGATGTCTGGGGCAGGAAATCCTTCCTCCTCCTCACTGTCTTCTTCACGTGTGCACCAATTCCCCTTATGAAGATCAGTCCATGGTGAGTTTACTCTTGTTATAACCAAGGGGTTCCGAGGAGAGGAATGAATGCGAGACTGAACCGTGGGCGTTTTGCACGTGTTGCATTTGAAGATGAGATGGAAGAGCCTGTCCAGTGGAGAAGGATGCTCAGCCTGGAGAGTAATTTACTTGTCTGGTTCTACTGGAGGGTTCTGTGTCAGGAAGAAAGAGTCTGTCTTTCCTCTCTTGGTACCTATTCTGACAGCTGCATTGTCACTATTAGGGCACGTTGATGTTTCCTTCCTGTGTGGGGAAAATAAGTGATCAAACTCCATGGGTCACCAGACTGAAGCTCGATGTTCCTGAGCGCTTTCTGGTGCAATGAAGTAGGATGGACTGAAGGAAGAATAAGGGAGAGGTTCTAATTCAGCAGCCATGCAGTCGCTCTCTAACTCTGCCTTTGGCAATGCCTGTTTCAGGTGGTATTTTGCTGTCATTTCCATGTCTGGAGTCTTTGCTGTCACCTTTTCTGTGATTTTTGCCTACGTTGCCGATATCACACAGGAGCATGAACGCAGCACGGCGTATGGCTTGGTAAGGAGCTGAATAACTGGCTTGTCTCTTGAAAGAAATATTTGGGGCTTTGCAGGTAGGAGAGGTATAAAATTAGGGTGGGAGATTTATTGAGGCCTGAAGACAGTAGCAGTGAAAAGATGATACGTGCTTCACTAATAACACACTCTCCCTGTTCTTCTGTTCGTGATTTAGCAGCAAGGGAGAGGGCTAATTTCTATGTGATCTGAGTACCAGCAGTATTGTTGCTTATCCTTTAAATCAGCCTGGTCTGTGAGCTTCTTTGCACCGGGAAAGGGGGCAGGCTGTGATGCTGGCATCCATACAAGTAGCCTGTGATAGGGCCCTTTCTATAGGGCTACTGGCAGTATCATATGTGAATTGTTAGGATAGCTTTAATTTCCTTTTGCTAGAACTTAGCCTAGATCGCACCAAGAGAACATGTCATCTTTCTGTCTACAGGAGTCCCTGTTCACCTGGATTATCTCCATCAAAAATGGCAAAACTAGTATCCTTGGGTTACTCTGGAGGAGAAAATAGGCTCTAGGAAGAAGAGGCTGTATTAATGTTTTATGCTTCCAGGTGTCAGCCACGTTTGCTGCTAGTCTGGTCACAAGCCCAGCAATTGGTGCATACCTTTCCCAAGCCTACGGTGATATGTTGGTGGTTGTGCTAGCTTCAGGTGTTGCTTTGCTGGATATTGGTTTCATTCTGCTGGCTGTGCCAGAGTCTCTGCCAGAAGAGATGCGCCCGGTCTCTTGGGGAGCTCCAATCTCTTGGGAACAAGCAGACCCATTTGCTGTAAGTAATCTTGCTGATGTTTTTCTGCATGCTGGTAATGCTTATATTTGCTGTAGTTTTGCTAATTTGTCTCAAAAGGAAGATGCATTCCACAAAAGGTGAAGGATGCAAGGTTTAGATTAACCCCATTGAAGGTACAGTGTTCAACTGATGGCAGACTATGCATATCTAAAGCTGTCTAGCAGCTTCTAACCGATTTCCTATAGCTACAAACCATCTAAAAGCATCTCCAGATATCCTGAAACAAGAGCATCTCTTGGTGGAAATGTGCCAGTTGGTGGAATGTAAATTCCATTACTTGGTAATAGTACTGTGTCAGGAGAAGTCTTTTGTGTTCCTGGCTTCTCAGGACCGTTGCTAGTGATGATGAGCTTTGCACCGTTTCACCTCACCTTTGCTTGCTAGGAAGGTTATTTTGGCTGTCTGAGGAAAAAAACAATTCTGATCAAAAGCACTTGACTATAAATCTGAGAAACTGAAAGGTAAAAATTCCTCATTCTAGGGTGTAAGTTGATGCAATTGTACAACTGGTCTGGTGTGTTGTGGCAGTGTTTGTATCTTCCTCTGAAATGCTGGTCTGGTTTCATTCAGGCATTCACTTCTTAGATACAAGATGGTGACTTAAGCACTTGGATTTGCTGTCTTTGTACCTGGAGAATATTTAATTATATTAACTCATTTTTGAAAAAAATTATTTTCATTCCCCACTCCCCTTCCCTACAGTCCTTGCGGAAAGTGGGTCAGGATTCTACAGTGCTGCTCATCTGTATCACCGTCTTTCTCTCCTACCTTCCTGAAGCCGGCCAGTACTCCAGCTTTTTCCTGTACCTGCGACAGGTTAGTCTCTTGTGACAAGGGAAGGCTCTGAATGCAGGAAATCCCAGTCTACAAATATTATCTTAGGTGCATGTCCTGAGGAAGCTCATCTTGGCCAATAGCTTAGTAAAGTTGAAGTTATAAGAAACAGTGACTTGTTACAGCTTTCCTAAAACATGTGGGAGCCTGGTGACCACTCTGTAGGCAGGCATTGCCAGGACCCTTGCTTGGCTTCTTGCTGGTGATTTGCCTGTCCATCCTGTCCATGCCACTTTCAGGCATTTAAGGTGAGCCCAATGATTTGAAGTTGTTTCTTCAGCCAGAGGAAAATCTTACATTTTATTCCTGTGGCAGCAGGGAGGTAGTGGAAGGTGTGGTTGATTAATGTTTAAGTACCTGATAAGCAATGTCGGTAAACATTAGTGACACTGATGGAGTGGCTTTTCTTGTATGGTGCAAATCTCTTGCCTGAAAAGTCCCTCTTTGGTGTTTTCACAGGTCATTGGTTTTTCCTCAGAGACTGTGGCAGCCTTTATTGGTGTGGTTGGAATTCTCTCTATACTGGCTCAGGTGAGAAGCCATTTCTGTCTTGGCTCCAGCAGTCTGGTTATAAGAATGTCCAAAATTTCTGATAACTGGGGCTGGTGAGTTGTCAGAATCCCTGCGGCCACACAGACATCATCGGACCCATGAGTGGCTACCTGTGGTCCCGCTTTCTTACCTTTTGAATGTAGCTGTTTGTTGAATACAACAAACTCTGGTAAACTGTGGGGTGGCTCCGTCTTGCTCTGTGAAGCTCCATAGATTGTGCTCTGCCATGGACAGGGACGTGCTGGTTTCTAATGATATTACGAGAGTGGAGGAGTGCATGTGCATGATAACCAGTCTCACAGCAGCACAAGTTCCCTCAGATTCCCATCCTTTTGTCTTCCAGTGCTGTCATCTTTCTTTGCACTTACTTTGAAAGCACCTGCTTTTCTTTCCAGACAGTAGTGTTGGGAATTCTCATGCGTTCGATAGGAAATAAAAACACCATCCTGTTGGGACTGGGCTTCCAGATCCTGCAGCTTGCCTGGTATGGCTTCGGATCACAGCCTTGGTAAGAGTTTGCCCCTGCTTGTCTCCTGGCGTCAGCAGGTTTCTCCCTGCGGTGGCTCTGTGGCAGCTCCCTGTCCCCTGGCAGAGGGAAATGCTGCCCTGCCGTGGTGCTGGTCTGCAGCTGGCCCTTGGCAGTTTGCCTCCTAACTGCTGCCTCTTTCTCTCCGAGGATGATGTGGGCAGCAGGAGCTGTGGCTGCCATGTCTAGCATCACTTTCCCAGCCATCAGTGCCATGGTGTCCAGGAACGCAGACCCTGACCAACAGGGTGAGTCACTTGGGGATTTGTGTAATGGGTGAGTTCCTCCCAGCAGGTGCTTGAGCTGATGCACATTTGAATTCTCAGCATTGGTAGTGGAGGGGCGGGCAGGAACGTCAGTGCCAGCTGTGGAGTGTCATTTTATTCTTAGTAGTATTGACACTCTTGTCTCTTTGACCATAGCTGATGCTTTGGGAGGGAGTTCTTAAGTTATGCATGTAGGTGTTCAGTGTTGCCTTTGAGGTAGAGAGAAGACTGCTGCTTAATAATTTGCCTGCTGCATGGTTCGACCCTGAATCCTCAGACTTGGCTGTCTTAAATTCCAGTTCAGCTGGAAATTGTTGCTTGATGTGCCCGCCCATGCTCATTTTATTCTCCAAAGCAGCAAGCCCAGCATTACTGTTTTTTGTAAAACTTGATACAGAGCAAAGCTAATCACCAGCTAATCACTTCATCTGTAGAGTGAGTGTCAATCCAGATCTGAATGTTTGATCCTGTCTTTAAATATGTAAGCATCCTTGAGGAAAACAAGTTTCTTCAGAAAGCTGGAGGCATACCTTCCTTTCCTTGCTCTGTCCCCAGGTGTGGTACAGGGGATGATCACTGGAATTCGGGGTCTGTGTAACGGCCTGGGGCCAGCGCTCTATGGCTTTGTCTTCTATCTCTTCCACGTGGAGCTGAATGAAATGGCTGAGGTGGAAACTTTGGGTAAGGCCTCCAAACCCAACATGGCCAACCCTACAGATGAGGTAACCTATTCAGCTTTATCATTCCGTTTGCTGGGCTGCTTCTGTCCTTGCACTTGAGTGTTAATCATTCCTCTGTTTCTCCCTACAGAGCAGCATTATCCCAGGGCCTCCGTTCCTGTTTGGGGCTTGTTCTGTCCTGCTGTCACTCCTGGTGGCCTTGTTCATTCCGGAACACAACCTTGCACTGAGATCAGGCAGCCACAAGAAGCACAGTAACGGAGCCCAGACCCATACCCACAGCCCGCAGGCCGGAGGATCAGATGGCAAGGAGCCCCTGCTCGAGGACAGCAGCGTATGAGGTTGGGAGAGAAGGACCTGGCTTGCGTCTCAACTCCAGATCAAGGATGGACTTAGCCAGTGGGAGTTTGGGGAGAGAGGGTGGGGGGAGAGAAGAAATGACGTAACAGTCTGTACCACTATCAGCTAATGAGAAGGGACAGGGTTTCCCTTCAAGCCAAATACACCCAGCTGGTGCAAAAGGGAATTGTATCATCTGGTGCTGATGGAAAGGGGAGATACTGAACTGCTCCACATGAAGGGATAGTTCTTTAAAGCAAACCTGCCCTTGTACATGAATACTGAACTTCATGGTGTGACCTGCCAAATACTCGACTCGCCAGTGAAAAATTAAGGAGCTAGCATTGTCTTTGTTCTAACGTGAACTAACTGAGTTGCCAGCCAGAATAAAACAAGGCATCTGTTACGTGCCCCATCCCCTTATATAATTGGTACTTGCTCCTGATCCCATCACAACTCGGTTGGCTAACCTCGGCCCAGAGAGAGGCTTGACAGCTGTCTTGTGCAGTATGCGCAGCCTGTGCCGTGATAGTACACCAAGGAAAAAGCGTGTGCATGTGTGAGGAACAGATAGTGTAGTCAGCTGTGAGCAGATCTGCGCTGCTTGAGGATCTGATGAATTTGCACGTTCTGGCCCAAGTGAAACTTAGACGAAAAGAAAAAATCTACTGACTTAATGTTCTGATGAAGATAAGAAAAATTAAGAAGTAAAGTTGCAACTGACACAAGGGGCAGATGAGAGAAGGGCAACTACATGAATTACAAATGCTTAGATGGTCAACAACATTTGTATTTCTGTTTGGTTTTTCTCTTTTTGTTACAGTGATGTAACATTCGTCTGTTGCTACCTCCACAGGTAGTAGGTAGAAGGATTTTTCAGAAATCTTTTTCTGGAACTGTAACGGTTGTTTAGAAAATACAGTTCTCTGAGAGGTTGGAGAAACAACTAAGCTCTGCTAAGCACTTTGATAAAGCATGGTTTCCTGAGAGAAAGGTCAAAGAAATAGCTGTTTATCTTGAGCACTTTTATAAAGCATGTTGATTTTTCCCCAAGCTCTTGCCATCTGATATTAAAACTAGATAATGACTGTAGCTTGTTTTTTCTCAGTCCAGAAGATCCTGATGGTGATGATTGCAATTGATTTGAACTTACAGGGTTGGATTCTGTGTAGCATTTCTGAGCCTGCTATGAAGGCTTTTGTTGTGTTGAAAAATGGAACTGCAACCTCTGCTGCAGGGTTCAGCTCTGTTTAGAGAGAGCAGCAGATACTTGAACTTAAGTGTTGTGAAAGAAGCTGAGACAAACGCATAGAGAATGCTTGGTTGTTTATAGATACACAGAGATATGGCAGAGGGCAGGAAACAGTTGTTCTCATTTGAGTAAGATCAGAAGTAATGGCATCGAGCAATCACTGGGGAAGTAAAGACCAAACTGGGAACACTTAAGCAATTAGTTGTTAAGGGAATTGAGGATACAGTGGCCAAAAATAGTCCTGTCTCAGAGCAGGGTATGTGCAACAGCTGCCATTCTCTGGCTGGGATCCCTTCTCTGTAGGTTTGCGACAGGTAACCTAGGGGAGAAAGGCCAAAAGGGAGGGAGCGCTGTCACCTAATGTCTTGGGTCTTTGCAAATGGGTAATCGTGGCTGATGCTGTGCCTGTGCAGCAGTGACTACAAATGCCGTTTGCATCTGGGTTTAATCGAAAACACCAACTGGATGACGCTGGAGAGCTTAGTCCCTGACCCAGAACTGGCACAAGCAGGGGAGAGCACTGTCCATCCCCTGCTCGGCCCTGGCAATACAGCTCACCCTGCTCTGGGAGCGTGAGGGGACATGAGCTTGAGGGTGTATTCACTGTCTGACCTCTTCTGTGTGCTTGTCAGTGTGAGGGCTGGTTAATGTTGGCTTTGCACAAATCGAGAGCTGCAATTTCGTGTAGGTCTCTTAAACGCCTGTCAGATATTAATAGCTTGGAACCACTGCCTGCCTAGGCTGGGCTGAACTAATAATATAATGTCTGTTTACCAATTTTCTGGACCAGTTAGTTATTGGAGGTGGACATTTAAGTGAAATAATTCACAGTTTGTTTTGCATTAATCTAGCCTGGTACCCAGATCCTGTAATCAGAACTGTAAGAGCAGATAATTGTCTGTGCAGAGGGCAGCCACCTCGGACTCTGAGAGTTTCCTGATGCGGATCTAATTGCAGGACTGGAGAACAGAGCTAGCAGAAAGTCTCAGTGACCTGCGGTGACTCCAGTTTTCCCAGGCTCATTGTGGTGATACTCCAAATTCCCAAACATTATTGGGATGATCTGTACTGTGCGTGCACAGCAAGCATCTTTCCTGAAGGAAATGCAGTCACTTAAACTTCCAGACAGCAATCCCAGCTCTGTATCGCTCATAAAAATGCCTTTTTTTAGACTGGAGCTTTACCAAGTACATCTGGTGATTCATTAATTTACACTGTATTGAAATGAACTGAAGTAGGTTTGTCCCTCACACACAAATGAAGTGAAACAAAACAGCGGATCGTTACCTCATTCACACTGAGGCACTCGGAGCTTCACGGGTAGAATATAGCAGAATGTTACAAAAAGACGAGCATAATTTATATGATATAAAGTATATAGAGATATATTTTTAAAAGTCCATTCCTTTATTGAATAGTTTATTGAAACCACTGTGTTTCTAGTCCCGTTCCCTCTCACCGCCGCTGCTGCCTGTGGCATCTCGGCTTCTTCCCTTCAGACAGCAGAACTATCTGGGCGAGCTTCCCCCCTCAGTCCCCATCCATCATGATGCGATACCTGAGTTTCCAGCGATGCCGACATCCTCTGGCTCCCAAGTAGTGGACCTGGAGTGTTTTGGTTGCTTTGTCAGCCCCTGAGCTCGGGGCCAGGCAACACCGCAGGTTACTGCTGCGTCAGCAGGCTGCAGCGTGGCGGGGGTTTCTTCAGCTGCTGGGGGGGGTACGGCATTGGGCAGCTGCACCAGTGGAGGCTACGCTGCGGGTGCTGTTATCAGCGTAAAGGCGACTTGTACATCGGCCCCTCGCTGCACCGGCACGGGCGCCTCTCGCTGGTGCGGGGCCTGGCCCTGGGACGTTGTGTAGCCCCAAGCCTGGATGCCCACAGCACATGGACCTGCCCTGGGAAGGGGGGCTCTCTGTGGGGCAGGGCTGCTCGCCCTCCCCAGAGGTACCGCTTGTTCCTGGCGCTGGGAGCAGACAGGGATTCCCTTCCACGGTTTTGGAGTTCCTCTCACCTGGTTGGGTGGGGGCTTCAGCTCCAGGTACCTCCCCTTCCCATCAGCATAGGGATGTGACCCATCCACCGTTCTGCCTTTAAGTGACAGAGGAGGACTTGGGCCAAGCGGCGATGGAGCTGAAATTACCGGACCTGAATGAAGAATGTCTCATTCTGAAGGGCTGGTAATTCTGCAGCGTCCCACATGGAGAGTGGAAAACTTGTATGGAGCATTCAGCTAGTTTTGCCAATTTTTGTTACTTTATATGAAAATGCAACTTTTTTAAAAGAGCCTTTTCTTAAAATCCCCTTGATCTGCTGTGTAGTGCCTGAGCCTGGCTGTTTAACAGCAGTATTCCCAGAATTTGTCTGCAGTGACTTATAGTTCAGGTTGGTAACAGCAATGCCCCAAACATAAGGCAAAAATTGGCTTAATTGCCCTTCTTCTGCAGTTCCAGTATTAATGGCAGCAGTTCAAGTGAGTTTAAGCAGATCCTGTCGCATTAAAAAACCTGTGTTAAATCATTGCTTTGTCTTTTGCCATTAATTTTGCAAAATAGTAACTTCTTACTTCACTGGTTTTTATTCTTTTCTCTGCACTTGAATGGCTGCTAACATCTTCGATTATCTTTAAAAAGTGTGGGCGTGTGGGCATGTGGCAAGCCCATGTTCACTGAAGAACAGCAGCACTTCTGCGCTCTCAAAGTTTACTATTGCGTGCATTTCTGTATCTTTTTTTAAGCTAACAAGGAAATGTATTTATTTTAGTTCAGGTTGTGTTTAGAACTGGCTAATCTCTCCCTCCGATGGATTATTTATTAAACTGCTGCTTTCCTGTTGTGTTGAAGTTCTCTGTCCTCATCCTTCTCCCCCACCTGTGTTACAAGACAGCTTTCCCAGCCTGCGCTGCACTTCTGCCCAGTACATCTCGACCCTTGTAAATTTTGCTGAAGAGGTTCTTAAAAGAGACCATGCATCGGGCCTTGTAAATCAACCTGTCGCGAATGGGCACAAGTTCTTGAGTTATTTCTACCAATTCCTTAAAAGGAAAGTAATCTAGAGCAAGAAGTACTTGGAAACAATTCACATGCATCCTTGATCCTAAAATAGCTATCCAGCTTTCCAGTGGAGTGTTAAAATAGCACTACCTTAACAGTTTGAACTTCTCCGGTGCTTAGGCATAAAATGTTTTGAGCCCTGATCCCACTGCTCATCCTACTGAATGGGGGCTGAGTGCTTGTGCAAGAAGAAGCGGTTTTCGGGCATTTTGTACAAGGCAACGTTTAAAATACCAGGCTAAGTAAGGAGCAGCAAAACGCTCTGGAGGAGCGAGTGTGGTCTGTTGTGTGTAGTGGGCCAGTGCCGTAGCTGTCACCTTCGGCAGGCAAAGACTTGCTGGTGGGTTTGTGTGAGCTGAGACAGGGCTGCCTGTCCCTGGCCCCTGCCTGCCCCGAGGTGGTGGAGCAGGGCCCCACACCGGGTCCCCAGCTCCCACCTCCCCACTGGAGCCTTGGCCTGGGGCTGGTTTTTAGCAGCCCAGATTCTATTGTCTTCGTTTCCAGCCAGGCTTAATCTAGATCTTATCTTACTTATTTAAACACTTCTTTTGGTGTTTGAGGATGGTACTAAGTGAACAATGTAATCACAAGAAGTATAAACACGTCTGGAAGTCAGCTCTTGGATGGGAACTGGTGTTTGATGACCGATATCCTGTAATGAGCTGGAAACACAAGCCATCTATTATACAATATGTTGCCTTTTGTATTTATTTCCTCTGGACTTGAGCTTTTTTTTTTTTTTTCCACCTTTATTGGAGAAAGAGCCCTTAGCTTGTCTCGTTTTGCATCTCTGGAGAAAAAGGGGAGGCATTTCAATACAGTGCGGCGTTGGCTGTCCTCTCCTCGGCATGGTGGTCATTTGGGCGGCACTGGTATCGGGCGTTAGCGAGTGCCGGTGATGACAGGCCAGGGCTACACCCCGGCCCGAGGGGCTGCGGCACTGCCGGTGGCGGCGTGGGGGTATCCTGTGCTGGGGGCCAGCGCTCGTCCCTCTGCAGTTTGTCTCTCCCCACTGACCTGTTTTGCTTCCTGAGAAATGCCTCTGGATCTAGAGTTGCCCGGCAAGAGCCCCCTCCTCCTGCCCTTTAGGAGGAAGCATGATTGGCGTCCAGGAAAAATGTTTGGAATTCTGATTCTTGAAAACTGTCGTTCCCTTTGCTCTGACCCAAGAGGTTTCCTGTTGGGTGGAAAACTGCCCCAGTGCCTCAGCTTGCTCTTTCCCCCCTGTGTCTGCAACCTGTTGATCTGCAACCTTTCCATGTCCAGGGCAGGGGGAGCTGCCTGTACGTGCCTCTGGGATGGAGGGAAGGTCCTCTGAGCCTATTAAAGGAGAGACCCCGAGCTGGTGGTGGGTCGGGAACCGTGGTGGGTCACTGCATGGGAGGCAAGGGGCAGCTCGGGGCCAAACCTGCGCAAGCTGCCTTGGGGGCCCACTGTCACATTACTCTGAGCTTGGATGAGTCTCCTGACCTCTGCCCTGGCTTGGTAACTGTGCCGTTAGAGCTGACCCTTGTGGAATTGGAGTATTATCAGGTTTCCATAACTGATTTCTTCCATGATCTGTGTTGCCCGTCCGCCCGCGCAGCAGAGGCCAGGGCAGCTCCCATGGCGTCAAGTGCTCTGCAAGCCCTGAACTGGAGGAAGTGCATCACTAGGTGCTGGACTTTCTGGTAACTATTAATCTCCTGATGACCAGTCTGGAAAATCTTCTTTTTAAAAGAAGGTCTGCTCTGTAAGTGCTCAGCTCTGGTTTGGACGCTGATTTATGATTTTCTTTTCTCACCTGAAGTGTCATATTGAGGGGTGCCCGGGGCTTGGGGTGTGATGCCGAGGGCTCACAGAGAGCTGCCTCTCACGGGAATGCCAGAGTCCGGTCCCTGATGACCATGGCCACTTTGCCCCTGGCTCGCAGGCAGAGGCTGTGCAGCTCCGCAGCCCCTGGCACTATGCATAGACCTCGCAGCCAGTGGGCACCAAAAGGCCAGGACTGATCCTCCCAGGACCTGTCGGTGTCGGTCTGTTGTTGCAGGAGCCCCAGCAGAAAGCTGCACCAGACCCCAGCCAAGGGTATCTTCCAGAGCTTGGATAATTTTTTTTTTTTGTAACTGTATGTGTTTTGCCCTCCTGCCCCCAAATCCGGTAGCAGCAAGCATGGTCCATGAGGACAGTATTTCCCTTCTTTGAACTCTTACTTGACGACATTACAAAGCAATCCTTCCCCTCATGATGTAACCCATCGCTTGATGCTTACCCTGTCCACACGCCACTGAGGGTGTGCAGCCTGTGCAGCCCTGACCGTTCCCTCCTGGGGCTCACCCAGGATCTTCGCTCGCCCATCACCCACGGAGGGTCCGGTGAGGTGGCCTCGTGCATTGAGTGGGTGCCACAGATCTGGGCTGCAGGAGCGGGAGGGGGAGGCGAAACCCTGGCACCACGTGTGCATCCTTGGGCGTCCCGAGCTTGCTGCTGGGCAGAGCCCAGCCGGCATGGGAAGCAGCCCTGGCTGTGGCTTGTCCCACGCCAGGGCTGGGCTGGGGGCTCCGCGGCTGCTGGAAACTCCGGGAAGTGGCTCTGTTAACACAGGATGGAAGGAACAAAAACTCCAGAGCTATTAATCACCCAGCATTGGCTGAATGTGCATATTTGATGGTGGCTGTTTACAGAGCACTTCCCTTGCTCTGAGGCCTCCCGGACTGTCAGAGGATTAATTACCTGGCCTCCCGAAAGGATGCACGACGCGCCCAGTGCCCGGAGCTGCCTCTCCAGAGAGTTCCCGGATGGGAAACGGCCAGGTCCTGCGCGACCTTCTGTGACAGGAGGTGCAGGGCTGGGCACGTCCCCTCCCTCGGTCCTTCAGCACCTTCCCCGGCCTCGGCCCCAGTCCGGCGGGACAGGATGGGGCACAACCAGGACCGTCTCTTCCCGGGGAGCTGGGTAGGAGCGAGGAAGCGATGCCAGACCTGCCATGAGACAGAGGACAGTCACTGAGGCTGTGCCAGGGCCTTGGGGCTAGATAATGTGGGGTAATCAACATCTTCCATGTGGCAACACTTTCTCCATCTATACCATAAAACCAACCCTCCCAGGAACGCCTACTTTCATCCTTGAAAACACCCTGTTCTGGGAATAAATGCTGTTTGCAGCCATGCTGAGCAGCACCCAAGCCTGGGGCTGGACACCTCCTCCCTCTGCCCTGGGGATGCACCTTTCCAAACCCCATGTTTTGGAACAGTTGGGGCTTTGGTCCAGGTTCCTCCTGAGTGTAACTCGTGCCACTGCCCAGGCTGCAACGGGGGCTGCCCACTCCCAAGGCTGCGTTCCCACAGGGGTCCCAGTGGGATGTGCATTGGGCAGATGCTGCAGCTGGGGGCTCCCCTCCCTCCGCCCTGCATGCCAGCTGCAGGCAGCTGTGCTCTCCAGTGATGCTGAACATGGGCCCTGGCCCCACTTTTGGGGCAGGGGTCTGAGACAGCCCCTCTCATAGACAGACGTCCCCAGCCAGTCCCACGATGGTTCATTTCAGCTGTTGGTGTTTGGGGCATGAAAAGGGCTGCTTTGCCAGGAGCTCTGGATGGGAAACGGTGGAGCCTGGTGAGAATCGGGGAAGGGATGGGATCTTGGCTGTGTCGTGGGGTGCAGGTGCCTGCACAGGGTTGCCCAGTGGGGTTGATGGGGGCCCCTGCAGCCACACAGGGACCCTTTGGGCCAAGGAGTCTCCCAGGTTTGGGGCTGCTGGCACAGCCCTCGGCTGCAGAGCTGGGTGTTGTGCAAGAGTTGAACTTGGAAGAAAATCAGAAACCTCCCTCTGGAAATACCCCTCTGCCTGGAAAGTCGTGGAGGCCCCAGGGCTGGTGCTTGCGGGGGCGGTTCCTACAGAGCTTAAGAAGGGCTGAGGACAGGGCTGGCGGCCAGAAGGAGACAGCCCCAGCTGGTGGCGTTCGCTCCCTGGAAGGAGGGAAGGAAGGAAAACCAGCCCTTGCTGCTGCCCTGTCCCGCTGCTGGCTCTGCGGCCAATGGAGCTGGATCCTCTCCTCCTCCTCCTCGGCTTGCTGTGGGGCTGCAGCGGTGAGTGCCACGGGGGCCAAGAGCCATCCTGATCCTTAACCTGCCGTGCTGCCCGGCCCTGCCCGCTGCTCTCTCTGCTTTGCCACATGGCGCCGCGGGCCAATGCAGCCCCAGGGTCTCCCCGTTGCTGAGCCTCGACAGCCGCCATGTCCCACGTGCGTCGCTGCTACAGCCCTCCTTGTCTTGGCACTGCAGCCTGGCGCTGAGCCGCGGAGTGTGCCGCCGTGCAAGCGACAGCATGTGCCTGGCCTGGGTCCACTGTCCTGCTGCCAGAACAGCAGCAGTGCTGGTGAAGGATGAGAACTGGGGGGGGAGGGGCGCTTGGGCTCGTTTCCCCAAAAAATGGCTGGAAAATCTCAGTGGTAAACCAAGACGGATCAAGTGGCAATGCCTGCGATGGAGCAGACCCGGGCTGGCAGTCACCACAGGCATGTTGGCTCCGCGACACTCCCGATGCCTGGTGACAGAGAACGGTTGCCCTGGGACAGCAGCACTGCGGGGAGATGCCTTGGCCGCCCCTAACGAGCTGTCGCTAATGAGCAGTGCCCCTGCTGTGGTGATGGGGATGGAGCTTATGCAGTGCCTGAGCGTGACCATCCACTTCTCAGCAAACAGGGGAACCAGCATCCCGTTTGCCTTGTAAGGAACTGGCCTCTGGTGACTGTCTGTCCCCTTCCCTAAACTCCGCGGTTTCCTCCTTCCTCAACCCAGGGCGACCTGCTGACAAGCTGGCGGTGACGCCGCGGGAGCCGGTGGTGCGGTACGGGGGCTCAGTGCAGCTGAACTGCTCCCTGGCCTGCGTGGGGGGCACGGTGCAGTGGAAAGGACTGGACACCAACCTGGGGAGCATCGCCTCCTTCCCCACCCACAGCATCCTGCATGTCAGCAGTGCCGTGGTCGCCATGGCGGGCACCAAGATCTGCCAGGGCACATGCCATGGGCAGCACTACCAGCACACTGTCAACCTGAAGGTCTACGGTAAGTATTCCCCAGCCCATCCCTCGCCGCCTCCCTGGCAAAGTCCTGGTCCCTGAGGCAGCCGGCTCCCTCCTGGGCTTCGGTGCCAAAAATCACCACTTGATGCTGCAATTCCTCTCTCAGCCCTCCCGGACACGCTGCAGCTGGAGACAGACCCCCATGCCCTGGAGCCAGGGCAGCCCGCCAGACTGCGCTGCTCGGCCCGGCAGGCATACCCGCGCACGGGGCTGGTCCTCACCTGGTACCGGGGGGACCAAGTGCTGGAGCAGCCAGACTTCGATGTCACGGAGACTGATGAGGAGCTGTTTGACATCGTGTCCACGCTGCTGGTGGCTGGGGAGGAGGTGGGAGAAGGGGTGGAGTTCAAGTGCAAGGTGACACTGAGCATCGGGCAGGAGACCCTCACCCGGGTGGCATCTGTGGCCGTGAGCGCTGGGGGTGAGTGCCAGCGTGGGAGCTGGGGACCTGGGTTCGCATGCTGCCCCGTCCACTGGAGCTGACCCCCCATCGCCCTGCGCTGCTTGAAATAGCTTTGCTGGAATGGGAACGCTCCCCATTTCTGCACCGCTCTGCAAATTTCCCATCCTTGTCCCTGTCCCCACTGCTGTGCCAGGGGTGCCAGTTTGTTCCCGCTCACTGCCTCTCCCTGCCCGGGACGGCTGTGTTTGTGGGGTGGAGGAGGAGGGGGCTGTCGGGCGGCGTGGGCGGAGGGGGCTGTCACCCCATGGGGATAATGTATGCCAGAGAGGCCCCATCCCAGCTCCGAGCCATGGCGAGACTGCCATGACACACTGTGTTCACAGCTGTGACGGAGCAGCCAGTGGCCATGGCCACCTCCACGGCGAGCCCCTGGACAGTGGTGACTATGACGAGGACCCCCAGCACAGCCGGACCTGTGACCACCACAGCGCTGCCCCCAGAGCCAAGTGTCCCCACACATGATCCCACCACAGCCCTGGCCACCACACCGCGGGAGCCTGATGCTGATACCATCCTGGAGCCGGCTGCTGCCACCGAACCCCCTTCCACAGAGGGCCCTGCTCCCCAGGACCTTGTCGCAGGTAGTCCCACGGCATGTCCAGCCACCACCACACTCCCTGGCTCCACCACCATGAGTCCCCCGGCTGAAGCGCAGGGGACGGCTGGGGACGGCATCAGCTGGGGGTCTCCTTCCACAGAAAAGGGGACAGGGCCATCCGTGGGGACAGTGCCCGCCTGCACACTGCGGATCTGGTCGCTGCCTCCCAACGGGACGCGGGGCAGGGCCCTGCGCATCGAGTGCCATGCACGGTGCACCAGGAATGCCACCGTCCGCTGGCTGCAGACCCCTGCGGCCCTCTCGCAGTACCGGGAGGAGGCGGTGGGCAGCAGCTCCACGCTGTGGCTGGACCACGCTGAGCCCCAGCACCAGGGCCACTACCAGTGTGTCCTGCTTGGCCACCGCTCCCAGGTGGTCAGTCTGCAGCTGACGGTCTTGGATGGTGAGTGGTGGTCTGCAGCTCCCTCTCCCGTACCCCCCATTACTTGGGCTTGGGCTCCACCGAGTTGTGTTAGTGCCGTGCACCCCCACCCCTTGGTATTTGCTGGTGTGGGCAGAGTCTGCGTGCAATTACAGGTCCTTCTCATGTCTTTGCAGAGTCGTTCAGCACGGGCCCTGCCATCGCCGTGGGGACAATGGTCTCGCTGTTGGGCCTGATCGTGACCAGCGTCATGTCTCATCGCCTGTGGAAACGATTCAGATCTCAGTACAAGCTGCCCTAGGAGTGGGAACTGCCTACAGATGCCCACAGCCCTCCAGATGAGTCCCTGCTGTCGCCCCTTCTGCTCCTGGCCTTGCCCAGCCCCTGGGACCATGAGCAACCGATGGATCGGGGCGGGGACCGGCAGAGCTGGTGGGGTGCGGGATGCTGCTGTGACACCTGAGAGAAGAGCAGCCCCCACCCCAGGACAAGCGCTCTGGGACCCGGAGACCTCCGAGGAGCTGCTGCTTTTGAAAACTTTGTCCCTGCCTGAGGCTGCTGCTGCCGCCGGTGATGCTGAGGGGCTTCCGAGGGGACAGGCCACGCTGGGAACCGCTCGGCTCCTGGGCAGGTAGCCTGCTGCTCGGAGGAGCTCGCCCGTGAGTCCTGTGCGAGAAAGGAGAGCCTCGGGGCTGCCTGCGGGACAGGAAGGCTGGAAGGGAGACAAGCAGAGGGAACCTCAGTGACGGGGGGACGGGGATGGGGATGGGGACCCTCCCAGGGCTGGATCACGCCCGGCCGATGCTGGGCACTGGGGTGGGTCCGGCCCTCGGGGGCTCCCGGCACCCACGCGGATGGGCGGGAGAGCGTCGGCCGATCCTCTGTCACGACAGAGGAGTCGCAAGCAGCCCTGGGGGGGCTGCCTGCGTGTGTCTGCGTCTGCGTACGTCTACATCCCCTGGGCGCGGGCGGAGGAGAGCGAGGCCTCGGCGTGCGGGGCGGGGTGCTCCAATAAAGGCTCGTTTCTCTTTGTACCCTGCGCTAGTGTCCTTTCGGCTGGGCCCTGCGGCCCCCCACCGGCTCCGGGGCTGCTGGAGGTCCCGGCGGCGGCGCTAGCCACCGGGCGGCGCTCGCCGCGCGCCCCGTTGCTAAGGGCGGGGCGCCCCGCCCGGAGTAGCCATGGCGGCCCGGGGGCCCCCCCCCGCTA